ACTTGAACAACATCATTGCGATCAAAAGCTGATGAAGAACTAAAAAAGCATTGATACAATTTTTTTACTCATTTGTTTTTCATTTTTATAATTTTAGAACTAAATTATGGCACTGCTTATAGTCATACAGTTATTCCAACTTTTGCTTTAAAATACCATTTTTTACATCATTATGTCGTGGTTGCTATAAAATAAAAACTACTCAATCTATTTATGTGCGAGATTTTCTAAAAAGTTATACATTCATTAAGTAACTGGTAGATACTATGGTACTAAAGCCACAAATGTTTAGTCTGTTTTGATAAGTTGTGCTCCTTTGAAAATAAGTCACAGGTCCTGACCGTATATCTTCAGTCCAGTTCATATCAAAAAAACTGAAAGCGCATGCATTTTTTCATCAAATTTAATAACACAATCAAAAACGTACATTAATAAAGCTAAACTTAAATTTAGTATTTTATAGTCTCCTCAAGGTAATATTTGTTAAATTTTCGCCAACCGAAACGTTTCTTTGGATCCTTTTTACTCCATGCCGGCGCCAAATTAGGCATTAAGCCCGCCTTCTGAGCCATAGTGACCAATGTGCCAATACGCTTCTGCTGCCTGTGACATAATCCTGTAATACGTCGCGGTAGCATACAGCCATCGGAGCGCACATATTGGGACAATATAAGCACATCTGTATGTTTGATATCCAAGCCAAGTGTGCACTCCGGACAGAAGCCTGTGCCACAAGCTTCTTTTACCATACGTTCAGCACGTGGTGAGGGTAATGTGACAGCCTGTAGAACAAGTGCATTTTTCTCTATTTTCTCCTGAACTACAATTTAATGTAATTAAATGTTAATAGTAAAGCAGGAAATGAAAAAGTTATGAAACAAGAACCCTAAAGTAGTAAATTGCGTACTCATTACTTACTTTCTTTTATCAAAAGCGGAGCGGTGGTTGTTATGCTGCGATTTGTTTGAGCTACTTTGCGGCAAATGGTTTGGCCTACGAAGCGTAGTAAATTAGACATTTTTATACAAAAATTTTATTAATTTACTTTATTTACAAAAACATCTGAGAGAACGTTATCTGCCAAAATATGTTCACAATGGTGAATTCAATAAGCGCTCGAAACACAGCTACAACAAGAGTTTTAAAAATTTCCTAAAAGGGCGTTTCCACATCGGCCAGATTGCGCAATTTCAACAATCAATTTCGGGGCAGAGTGGAAACGCCAATTTAGCCAATTTTTAAAACTCCTGATGTAGATAAAGAACGTAGATAGATTATCTACGTTCTTTAGTAACACTGCACACCGTGTATGCCGCCTATAACCCATGAACCAAAAAGACAAGATCACGCGGGCAGGAGAGTAGCCCGTTAGAATCGCATTAAGGAAAAAAGTTGAACGATTTTGACA